AAAGTGTCAGCGCTTGCGAGAGCAGCTAGGGTTCGACCCACGCACACACACACACACCGACGAGCACCAGCTGGGAACCAAGATAAGAATGAGGAACGGCGACCAGCGGACGAGCCGCGAGCGCGATTGTGCACCGCCGAAGGAGAGCACGGAGAAGGAGAGAGAGCGCGTGACCGGCGCAACCGAGGAAAAGTGTCGGCGCTGGCGAGCAGCGGACGAGCTGCAAGCGCAATCGGGCACCTTCAAAGACGAGCAACGTGCCTGCAGCAGAGAGGCCTGCAGCTGCAGCCAAGAGAGAGAAGGCCGTGTGTATGACACACACACACACGACTCGCCGCCTGGCAGGGAACTCCTTATCTCAAAAAGTGTAGCACGGAAACAATACACCCACACACACTCACACATAACGCACATATCGAGACTCATAAGATTGCTCCGAAAGTTCTCCTTGTGTTTCACAAAGGGTGGTCATCTAAAGTGGAGTGCGTCAACTATTAGGTGATCGCGGAAAGCATTGCTGCCCATTGAGTTACGTAGATACGGTCGTTTAGAAGTATATTAGTCATTCTTGTTGTTAATTGCATAATCTGTACCAATGAATTCATTGATGCAACGAAACATTTATAAACACAGGGATACTATTGTGTTAAAATCTTTCTTTTGATCACAAAATCTTGCCCGCGAATTTATTAAAGCCCTTAGCCAATTGATAAACATCTGTTAGACAAGCAGGCACACTACCGCACACCATTGTTCCAAGGCATTTCGTTAATTGCATAATCTTACCAATGAATTCATTGAGGTCTACCTTTGCCTTAGGCACATTTTTCTTTATTATCGTTCATATGAATATTGTCACATTCATTTTTAAGGACTTTTTCCCGTCACCGTGCACGGTCGATTTACTCTGAGGAATTAGCAGATTGTTCTGTTACCCAGTTAACAAACGTAACTTGAGGGTTAAATGTACGGATCAATGAGAAGGACATCTCCAGGAGTACTGTGTTGACATTCCTAGCATAAGAGTTCGCATATTCGAATGTTATGTTTTTTTTAGAGATTAAAGTTGCTTAACACAGAAGTGTCTGAGTAATGCCTTCCTAAGTTCATGCTTAATAATCTTAATGATAAGAACTGTATCCTGCGGAGAGATCTGAATTTTGAGACCTGACATAAACACACTAAAACATAATCAGTAAAAGTGAGAATCGTTATATTATCCCGATTGATAATACAACCCTAGCCAACGAATCCAAGCCTAATTAGGGAAATAACATAAATTAGCATAATTACATACACTTGCATAACCTAATGCACTTACACCTTCATAATTAGCATAAATGCATAATTAGTACGATTACATACGTTTGCATAATTACACTTTTTTAGTTCGAGACCGAATATATACAACACCTGCCCGGCAAGGGCGGTGGGGCGGACTTCGGCCCCCACATTATCCCTGTCCCTGAGAAGCCGATGGTGAAAACGTCCTCTCATGCAGGTTGACGGCACATTCTAAATCGATCCGTTTATCCAACAGCAAAGCCGACGAAACCCCCATCCCTCTCTCGTGCCATCTCACAAAAAAGTACCACGACGTGGCTTCAAATGGTCTAAGTTATTCTTATTTTTGGATCTTCACCGGATGGCCAGCCTCGTTTTAGAAGGCTTCTAATAATGGCACACTGGCCATGTAACTTTATTGATACAGCCTCAGTGTTTACCATGTGTTGAGAAGTTCCCGACGACTCACTCGGAAGCTGAGGTAAGTTAAGGGCTTTCGCCTTAGGTTTATTACAGATCTTAACAGTGCACGGGGGTGAACAACTTCCCAGGGGTTAGGGGGGTCACGGGCTGGGTCCCGACACATCCGGCTGCTTTGTGCGGTCTCTTCTGCGCCGGCCGTGGGATCAGCACAACACGGCCGACCGAGGAGCACAGCCACTTCCAGCCCTGGCACTGTGCCCTCTCCCATATGCCTACCCTCTTGCCCCTGGCTCCCCGTTCCACCCTTCTCAGACCCTCCTCTCCAGCTACGACCCCGCTGACGTCACTGGGTTCCCCCTTTATACTTGAGGAGCCGTGACGTCATGCGCTCGGGGCAGCACACGTGACGCCACTTCCCCATTCTTCTCCTCTACACATGTAAATGCAAGTACCGTTGGCTTGTGACGTCGCAAGCCACATTCGCTAGCTCATTGGCTACGTTACCGTGGAGGATGTCTTCGCCGTGCTTTTCTGACATGTGATTTGAAGGCGCTTTATTTCTACATACAGTAAAAAAGTTAGTTAGCTAGCTGGCTTGATGAAGATTGATAAACACACACAGCTGCAGTGATTGTGTCAACGCATTAAATGTTAAACACACATGTTCATGAAATGATTGTTGAGCAAAATGCTTGATGCATGTTGAAGTGCACATTAATACATACTGTACCTTTATTATAGCAAAAATGAATAGGCTCCGTGCAGAGACTGATGCTGTGGGGAAGAGTTGGTGAGGTCTTCTTATTTCGTATGGAATTGTGAAAAGCAACAATTTTTATTTTTTCTCATGACATGACCGTCATAAATTAATGCAAAGGTTCCTCATCCCAGTCCAATGATGTGGTTGACGCAGTGTGGATTTCAGCGATACCGCCAGGATGTGCATGGATGGAGCATTCATCGGTGATGTGTTTGGATGGTTTGGGCTTCTCCACAGTCGCAGTTGGGTGATTCTTTGATCTTCCATTTACGGAACGTGTGACGCTCATCTGCCGTGTTGCGTTCGAGCGCGGTTCAGCGTGGTCCATAGTCGTCGTGGAAGAGAGAATCCTGATAAGTCCACCGTCGGATCGTGAATGATGTTTTTGTTTGCCACGTCCATAGCCGCCCATGATTCAGACCACCGAGTGGCGGTGTCTTTATTTTCGGCTGCTAGAGTGGACGCGCGTATCCAGAACGGTTTTCTGGATTTTAGCCTTGGGCTATGGGGGTTCCTTTTTAGATCTTGATGGAGCGGCAGAGTGAAGTTTTCCAATATCTGGTTATACTACCGTGTCGTCGCATCATCGCGTCGGATGTTGGCCGGAGCGATATTCGCCAGCACCAGGAAGCCACGGGAGTCGAGCAGACTTTAGGGAACCGCTGATGATATGAAGCGCATTGATAATTTCGGCGTCGACAAGGTTCGTGTGAGGGCTTGCACCCCACACCGGGGCACGGTGCTCCGCAGTGGAGTGAACAAGGGCCTGCGTCGATATCTTCAACGTGCTGGCATCGCTTCTCGAGGTTGTTCCTGCAAGTTTCTGAATAATATTCACTCGTGCTTTCGTTTTACTTTTAGCTTGTTTGAGGTGGTGATGGTAGTTAAGCGTCCGATCCAGGGTAAATCCTAGATCCCCAGGGTGTTCATCATGCCTTAGCCTCTCCCCGTAGAAGTTAAAGTTCAACGTTTTCGAGGCTTTTCTGTTGTTCAGGTGGCAGGCGAAGACGACACTCTTGGGCTGCTGGCAGCTTCACCAAGATGGACGGTGAACCATTGGTTGATCAGAATTTCGGTGATTAGTTTAATTGTCGGGCGGCAAGGCACGGCTTTCGCAAGCTTCAGCAGGAGTCACTTCCGCCATACGGTATCGTAAGCTGAAGAGAGGTCGATGAAAGCTATTGCTGTTTTGAGGTAATGATGGGTTACGCACTGCTAGCATTGTATGGACCCAAACGTGCTCACAACTGAAGTGCACGCCTCAGCTGCTCCACCTCACGATTGGATCCTTTAGCAAATATCAATTAGCAAATATACATTTACAGACACAAAAATATTAGTTTGGTTCATTATACAGTATGTGTATAAAACATCGGTGGCATACATGCTAATACCAATGTGTTTTTAAAGCCGACTTTCAGCCGATACATTGATTAAAATGCATCACTTCATAACGATCTCATAAGAATAAGTGAAAAAGAGTTAATGCCGATGCACTTTAATGGCACACTGGATACATTGTCCCTGTGCATGCCAAGACTAGCTGAAATGTAGCTAATCTGTTTTGTAGATCAATAGGTGTATGAGTGGAAACATCTGGCCTAAGATGAAGTCCATCTTGGATTTTGTTTATAATTAAAATTTATTCAAATTTTTTTATTAAATCACAAGCAAATACATATAGACACTTAGATAAATAAGACTTGATGCCTCTGCTCAAGGTATCAACAAAGAAAAATGGTGGTCATCTTGGAAAAATGTCAGCCATATTTGATTTTACGTGCAGAATTTTGTGCTTGTTTCACCGTTTGAACTATAATCCTATTTGCTTCTGGCATACAAAATCCGACATTTGGCTGCACCTGTTTCCTATTCCTCACCTAATCTAATACTATGTTATTTACCAGGTAAAGTCCACTGAGCTATTAGCTTTTTTTCAGAACCAACCTGGCCACAAATTATTGTTCAAGGAATGTGTCTTATCACGTGGACATTTCTAGCAGCCAAATAATCTAAAAGCATGTTTCTAAATGTGGAGGTTAAAACTGGAGGACCTGGATAAAAATCTACCACGGGGAGAACGTACCAACTCGAAACATACAGGCGTCAGGGTCGGCATCAAACTCATGACCCCCTGTATACCAGGCGATGACAATAACATCTCACCACCTCCTCATCTCATCCCCCCTTGGTGCTGAGTGTTGCTGCTACCAAAACCTAATCCTTAACTGCCTTAACAAGAGGTATCTTTGGAGAAACCTGGACAGGTGGCAGCCGTACTCACACAGGAAACCCAGCAGCAGGTCAAGGAGAACCAGGAAGCTCGAAAGGCCACTCCTCAATCTGCCATGATATTATCATCCTGTTTTACTGCCCTCCCAGGCTGAGTGGCCCAACGTCTGAGTTTCCTCTATTCTCCACTTCCTCTCTGTGCCTCCCCAGGTGTCCCTCGTCCTCCCTCCCCCGAAAAAGCCTCCCTGCCATGTGAAGCCCGAACCAGGCCCCAGAAGTTCCACCCCAGAACAACGTGACCCCGAGATGGATGACCTGAAGCAACTCCTCCGGTGGTCTAACCCGCCCTCCACATCCTCGTTCGACTTCGAGTCATCCACCAGCCCCGCGGCCACGAGCTACCGGCTGCTGGGTGGGACACGCAATTTCACGGTGGGTGACACGCTGCACCTCACCGTGCAGGCCCGGGACCACCACGGCAGGGACAAGCGGCACGGCGGAGACTACTTTCGCATCAAAGTCTACTCACAGAGGCTTCGGGTGGGCACATTTGGTTCGGTGCTGGACCACGACAATGGCTCGTACACGGCGAGTGTCGTGTTGCTGTGGCCAGGCGAGGCCCTCGTGGATATCAAGCTGGTTCACTCGAGCGAGGCCGTGCACATCATAAGCCGCCTGCGCGACTCGGTGCCCAACAAGATCTTCTTTACCGGCTACTTCGAGAAGGAAGGAGCGAGAGGCGAGGCCACGGAGTGCAACGCGGTGCCGCTCTTCCAGGCAAAGGGCGGGACGTGCGAGTACAGGGATGCAGCCACGGGACACGCGTGGTTCTGTGCGAGGCCCACCACACTGCCCTGTGACTCCCTGCGCTTCCACTCTGATGGGGGCCGCAGGAAAGTTCTCACCAATCAGGAGGAGCGGTTATTCAGCAAGTAAGTATCCTGCCCAACGGCCAAAGCTGATTAATAGGGTAGACAAAAAACTCGATTAGGCTGTTTGTGTTGATATTTTCCTGCTGCCTTTAGCCAATTTGTATACATTGCCGGACAATCTTCTCCATTGCCTCGTCTTACCTTGTATCGTCACTTTTCTTTCCAAAAGTTGCACATTATTCCTCATATATTTTAAATGTTAAAGTCAGTTCACCTTATTCTTAGTTTTTTCGGTAAAGTCACGTTGAAGAGAAACAACAAAATAATAAAATATATATAAAACAATAAAAAATTCTCACGACGTTTCGACCATAACTCAAATGGTCGTCTTCAGGTGTGTTGGTTCGCATAAATGTATTTTTAAACGGCGCATTTATTTATTTATAAAAAAACATTAGCGCCACGCGCAGCGATTTGGCAGTTTACCCAGGACTAGTCCATCTATATTCTGAAAAGAGGAGGGGGGAGACGAATTTTTTTTTTTATAATGTATGCTGTCTGAAAGCCACTGTAAGCGTGAACAATCAATTAAGACCTGAAATGGTTTATCAAATCTTTCCAATGATTGCTAAGATAGAATCCATCTTCTCGGTTTAAATTGTCTCTGTGCTTGTATATGTGGATAGCCTCATGAACGAATCTCTCATGGAAGCCAGATGGCTTACAAAGAACCTCTGTCTTGGAAAAGTCAATGGCATGTGAGCCTACTGAATTAGAGCAATGATCTGCTACGGCTGAGGTGTTGGTCCTACCGTGTTTAAGGTCTGCTTTGTGTTCACGAATGCGGTCCGAGACATGGCGTTTGGTTTCTCCAATGTAACTACTACCACAGAGGCAACTTAGTTTGTAGACACCAGGGTATTGTATGTCCGGAATCACATCTTTTACAGACGGAACCAGATCACGGATTTTATGTAATGTGTTGAAACGGACCTGGATCTTGTGTTTATTCAAAATTTTGGAGATCTTTTTTGTGATCCCAGCAATGTAGGGTAAAGTGATGGTTTTGAAAGGCTCCTCAAGAGGGTTCTTCTTCATGGTTTGAGTGATAGCTTTGCGGATTGTATAGTCGGAGTAACCATTAGCCCTAAGAGCTTGGTGTACGTGCTTGAGTTCACTGCTTGTGTTCCTGGTCGGATATGCATTGGGCTCTATGATACAGAGTCTTGATGAGAGAATTCTTCTGTGATGGATGGTGGTGGGAATCCGGTTTCAGATAAGCATCCGTATGGGTAGCTTTCCTGTAGACAGAGTGGCTCATTGAACCATCAGGTCTCTTTTTAATTAGGACATCCAAAAAAGGTATCTTGCCATCTATTTCGACTTCCATGGTAAATCTGATGGCTGGGTGTATGGAATTGATGTGGTCGAAGAATTGGTCTAGAGCAGGCCGGCCATGTGGCCAGATGACAAAAGTGTCATCCACGTACCTCTTCCGTAAGGTTGGGCGCAGAGTGGCAGTCTGGATGGCGTCAGTCTCAAATTTCTCCATGAAAATGTTAGCTATAACTGGAGAAAGGGGGGAGCCCATTGGGGTGCCCTCAGTTTGTTTGTAGAAAGTTCCATTCCAAGTGAAGTATGTATTGGTTAAGCAGTGTCTCACCAGGGGGGGTACCTCAGTGTTTAGTCCTTGATGAACCAAGTCTTCAATGATTGCAATGGTGTCAGGTACAGGAACCTTGGTGAATAAGGAAACTACATCAAAACTGACAAGCAGGTCGTCTGGGGACAGGGAAATACCCTTGATTGTCGATACCAGGTGAATAGAATTTTGTACCGCAGAGGTGGTCTTTCCAGTGAAAGGACGCAGGATTTCAGACAAAAAACGATCTAGTTTGTAGGTGGGGGAGCTGATAGTAGAGACTATGGGACGAAGAGGTGTATCTACTTTATGTATTTTTGGTAAGCCGTATAATCTTGGAGGCCTGGCAGCAGAAGGTTTCAACGAAAACTGTTTAGATTGATCAATTAATGCGGTTGAATCAGAAATTATTTTGTTGGTTTGTGTGACGAGGCTGTTGGTGGGATTTCTTTTTATTTCTGTATAACTACCATCGTCGAGTAATTCTTTAATTTTGTTGTTGTATTCTATTTTATCCATGATGACAGTAGCATTGCCTTTGTCAGCTGAGAGGACTACAATATCATTCCTCTTTTTAAATTTATATAATTCAAAACGCTCATCTTTGCTGAGGTTGCTAGCTGGCATCTTAGCGTTTTTGAGGGTTGCAGCGATTTCAGATCTTGCTACGTCTGCAGCGATGTGACCCAGGCCCCTGAGAGCAACGTCTACTTGGGCAATTATATCATTAACTGGTATGTGTTTAGGTGTGACTGCAAAGTTTAGACCTTTAGCTAAAACGGATTTCAGACCATCGGAAATAGAACTGTTACTGTGATTAATTACGACTTTATTAACGTCTAACTTTTTGGTGGAGGTTAAATTTGGAAATCAGGTTTTCCTTACATTTGGTCGACATAGTAGCAGCTGAAGAGGCAGTCATATTGTCTACATGTTCCCAATCCGATGTGGACATTATTGCCGTCAATGATAAGTGTGATTTGTAGAGTGTCTTGTCTAACGGATCTAGTTCTGTGCGTATAAGTCTGATTTTTTCTGAGATAAGAGCTAAGCTAGTTTTGAAAAGAATTCGTTTCGCATTAGAAGAAGTTACAGCAGCAGAGGTCAGTGTAAATGCGATTGGTATTACCCCAGAGTCGCGGCATCTCTTCAGGAAGGTGAGAGACTCGATCAGCTGAGCTTTCATATCCCGGAGTTTGTTGAAGGATCTTAAAGTTATGTGAAAACCCTCCCCGTAGAGGCGATTAAATTTTGATTTAAAGCTTTCGTGACTGCAGTAATTCATATTCTTAGTTTTTTCGGTAAAGTCACGTTGAAGAGAAACAACAAAATAATAAAATATATATAAAACAATAAAAAAATTCTCACGACGTTTCGACCATAACTCAAATGGTCGTCTTCAGGTGTGTTGATTCGCATAAATTTATTTTTAAACGGCGCATTTATTTATTTATAAAAAAACGTTAGCGCCACGCGCAGCGATTTGGCAGTTTACCCAGGACTAGTCCATCTATATTCTCTTGAGGAGCCTTTCAAAACCATCACTTTACCCTACATTGCTGGGATCACAAAAAAGATCTCCAAAATTTTGAATAAACACAAGATCCAGGTCCGTTTCAACACATTACATAAAATCCATGATCTGGTTCCGTCTGTAAAAGATGTGATTCCGGACATACAATACCCTGGTGTCTACAAACTAAGTTGCCTCTGTGGTAGTAGTTACATTGGAGAAACCAAACGCCATGTCTCGGACCGCATTCGTGAACACAAAGCAGACCTTAAACACGGTAGGACCAACACCTCAGCCGTAGCAGATCATTGTTCTAATTCAGTAGGCTCACATGCCATTGACTTTTCCAAGACAGAGGTTCTTTGTAAGCCATCTGGCTTCCATGAGAGATTCGTTCATGAGGCTATCCACATATACAAGCACAGAGACAATTTCAACCGAGAAGATGGATTCTATCTTAGCAATCATTGGAAAGATTTGATAAACCATTTCAGTTCTTAATTGATTGTTCACGCTTACAGTGGCTTTCAGACAGCATACATTATAAAAAATTTCGTCTCCCCCTCCTCTTTTCAGAATATAGATGGACTAGTCCTGGGTAAACTGCCAAATCGCTGCGCGTGGCGCTAACGTTTTTTTATAAATAAATAAATGCGCCGTTTAAAAATACATTTATGCGAACCAACACACCTGAAGACGACCATTTGAGTTATGGTCGAAACGTCGTGAGAATTTTTTATTGTTTTATATATATTTTATTATTTTGTTGTTTCTCTTCAACGTGACTTTACCGAAAAAACTAAGAATATGAATTAATGCAGTCACGAAAGCTTTAAATAAAAAATTCAGTTCACCTTATTTACTTATTTATAATCGGGTCTCCATATCCGTGACTGTATATGTCTCCGCCACTCATTTGTCTTTCTGTGTGTCAATATCAGTGTCTCAGTGTACGTCTCCGTGTCTGAGCTGCATCACCTTGTGACCTGCAATCTAATACCTCGATACATAGGTAGGCTCCTCTGACACCTTTGTTGTTAACAGGACTTCCAAAATGCGTAAGATTACTCTGTTTATTGCCAATGATTTCTTTCTTAGAAGTAACCGGACGCCACAATATGTCACCGTCTCACTGGGCATGGGTTCCTGAAAATGATGTGGCTTCTCCAGGTGCAATGTGAGTTGGGGAGGTTTAGAAACCCATGTTCTCAACACCTTGATGTAACCGACATTGCCCTTTCAAAAGAGGCAATGCGTCATTTCTCAACGGTCAAGTATTTCATTTCCTGGTTAAATAACGGATGCTACTATCTCAGAGCCGTACATGCTCACTGACCTAACCACCACCACCCTGTATGCCATTACATTTAGGAATATGTTGCATGTTGTTATTGCACAACACTCCATTCCGTTCCCTCCACCTCACCCACACCTTGTTTATTCTATGATTATCGATTGCGCATTGATCCTGGTGATGCAGCACAATCTCCAAAGTGACAATCGGCGGAGATCCGAGCCAGATCGAGGTGCTGCCATCCCCATCACCACGCGACCTCGGTGAGTGCCGAGTGCTCACCGCTTCGGTCCCACGAAGCCTGACCCAGGGCTCTCTTAGCTCACGATCAATATATTTTCGATTGAAAAATGTGATGACCACAAGACCGAATCATTCCACTTTCCATCACCTGGGTTGTGAGCACAGAAAATGCTCTTGACATTTCTCGTAGATCTGGAAAGCCAAGATCATAAATGTTGTAAGAGAGAACGGATATCAAATTATAATAATCGGTTGGTCGTAATGAGATCGTCACTCTCGCTCGCTCGCATAACAGCGGTTCCTCGGGGAACATACAGTTGTTGTATGTTAATACATTTCGGAAGGGAAAATGGATCAATAGCCAAAGTAGGGCTGTGGAGCACAGGTGGCCGAGTCTCCCTCCCCACTCCTGGTGCTGCCACTGGGGACGAATGTTGGCATCTTTCGATCTTCTACTTGTGACATTAATCACGTTGTGCTCAAACGGATGGCGCCATTTTAGAGCCACTGAGAACAGCAATGCCTCTACCCTTGAAATCACAATAATGGTATTGTAGCAATGCTATAAGTTCCGTTTACGATATTTGTCATTCCGAGTAAATACGAGCGCTATTTATCTAGCGAGTGCTTTTACGCGTGGCTTTCACACAGAGCACCAGATAAACAAAAAAATTAGATGGTGAATAAAATAAATTAATATATTCTAGATTTGAAGCTTCCGTGACTGCAAGGATTCATACTATTTGGTTTTTTCGGTAAAGTCACGTAGGTAAAATAAATGAAAACAACTAAATTAAATCACGACGTTTCGGAGGCAACACAAGCTTCCGTCTTCAGGTGGAAACCGTCACAGCAAAACTGCTGTATCAAGTGAAGAGAGCAACAAAAGGCGGCTTAACTTAGCCCCCCCCACGGCCCTTCCTGGCTCCTCCCCCCCCCCTTAACCTGTATATAATCTCGGGTATCTTAGAGCTCTCTTCACTTGATACAGCAATTCTGCTGTGACGGTTTCCACCTGAAGACGGAGGCTTGTGTTGCCTCCGAAACGTCGTGATTGAAATTAATGTCAATGTTCTGTGTGTGGACGTCAGCCCACACAGCCACAGAGCCACGTGACAGCCTGTTCCTCTGGTAAGTGCAGGGCAACGGGTCCGCTCAGCACACCTGGCACCTCCTGACGCACTACGCAGCCAGAGATGATGTGCGCCATGATCTCCTCCCTCATTCATACAGCGGGCTGTCACGTATGCCCCATCGATGTTTGTAAACAGCACACATCCCATGGTCACACCGCAAGTGGTTCAACTGAACCCACTGGTGCTTTGGGAGGTCAAAGCCACGCATCTGGAAAGACCGATCACTGATCAGGTCCTTGTTAGGCACATCCACGAATCTCCATTCCTCGTCCCAGGGCAGTTGCGGGTATTTGGTGAGATGACCCAAGCCATATGGGTACACAGTAGTCTGCTACAGAGGGAGAGGCCCATCGTACGTCGTGACCAGGCACCAGCACCCCACGTTGAGCCAGCCAGCCGGGTCAGCAGATAGTTCCATATGTACGGTACGTCAGACTCCTGTCCAACATCACTCCAAGGATCACCAGCTTTGGGTCATGTTTTATCAACTGCGCTGGCATTGTGCAGGTGAAACACACTGCAAACCGTCTTGCTTATGCTTTGCTGGAATTGCCATCTGCTGCAGTAGTCTGCTATACCATGGTTAAGTCACTGTTCAGGGTATATTCCAGGATGCCAAAGTCATAGGCTTGGGTGGTGATGCAGATGTCATCTGCGTAGACAAATCGTCGTGACTTCCTCGTAGCTAGGTCGTTGATGTAAATGTTGAAGAGCACAGTTGCTGCACGCTTTACACGCGCTTACGCAAGACGTTCTTGAAATAGTGCATTAATTTACTTGTTTTTGTTATGCACGCACTATTCTCGAAATAACGCGAACGGAATGCGCTGCGAGCTAATGGTGGTTAGGCAGCAAAGTGCAGTAGCAATACCTGCGGTGCAGTATAACAAGCACGGGCAGCATCGGTATCTCCTTCTCGCATGCCATTTTCAAGATCGTGTCCGCATGAACTTTGTATTGTGCACAGATTTGTCTACCAATGTCCGATAAGCGTCTCACTTCGTGTAAAAAAACACTTTAAAAAAATACGCTGTTACTAGCTTGAATACATGTATGGTAGTATTGTAACTATATGTACCGTAACCAGTGAAATATGTAGACATGAGGCACGTAGATAGGAAAAAGAATAACAATAAAATAATAGAAATATCACGTTTCGATCGCAACACCAGCGGTCGTCATCAGGAACAGGGAGGTTAGCCTCTGAGGGAGGGTAAGCTGTTTATAAAGGTTTAGAGATGGGCGGGGAAGCTAATGTTAATGTAGAAGGCTCCTACATTAACATAGAATATGAATTCCTGCAGTCACGAAAGTTTAAAGTCAAAATTAAAAATTCCCTTTATCAGAGGAAAATTACGTAATATTTACACAACCTCCGTGTAAAACGCGAGGCATGAACAGACTCCTGAGGCAGTTCATTAATTTGCATCTGCAAGGAGCTGACTTTGTTGTTCATGTACTCTCGGAAGCAACGATTTTTGAGAAACTCGATGGAGTTCACTTCTGAGTGCGGCAGGAATCGCGACAGCTTTAGCAGAAGTCCAGTGTTCCAGAAAGTATCATATGCTGCTGCGAGGTCCATGAATACTGCACCCGTTTTGAGATGTCGCTGGAAGCGATTTTCAACATCGTCCGTGCCAGGGCCTGGTTACAAGTGCTTCGGCCCTGGCGGAAACCAGCCTGCTCAAAGCTCAAACATGTTGTTGACAGTAGGTGAGATGCGTCCTAGCACCAAATGCTTCAAGAGTTGTAGATACACACTCAAGAAGGGAGATGGGCTCGTACCTACCTGCGACATTCATGTCCTTTCCCTGTCTTTAAGATTGCGATAACTTTGACCCGTCTCAAAAAAGTTGGGCAAGCCGGCATTCTGACACAATTCTGGTGAAGAAACTTAATAGCCAATCTTGTGCATGGGATCCGAGGTGTTTCAGTAATTCAGGGGAAATGTTGTCTAGACCAGGAGCTTTTCCAGGTCTTCGTTGTTGAAGCGCTGAATGCACATCGGCAGTGGCAAAACGCTTGTGATGGTGTTGTGTCTCATCTCACTATGCATGTACATCCTCCACTCATTGGGTGTTCACGAAGTGCGTATATGCACGTGTTTCCTTGCGTGTGCGCGTATATCACAGAGGCCAGCCTTGGGCCGTGCGTGCCAGGCCACCCCGTGCCCTCCCCAAGCGGCTACTACCTCAACGATGAGTGGGTATCGCTGGCCTGTAGGGCGCGGCCCTTCCCTGCCCCTCAAGACCTGGCCACGTGCCTGCGCAGAAAGAGGCTCTACCTGTTTGGAGACTCTACCATTCGACAGTGGTTCGAACACATCTCCACCCATGTGCCGGGTGGGTGCCACGGTTTTTCAGCACTGTGGAGACGAGGGTGGGAATGGTGGATCATAAAGATGAGTGAACCAAGGGATTTGAGAAACCCCTCCTCCACCCGTGGGCGGCAAGGTCGCCATCTTTTGGCTTGCTAGGGTTACTGCGGTATAGCAAGCAGATTAATTTCCATCTGTACGGGGATTGTGTTAACCCCCCCCTCCCCCCGCGTTTTGAGCCTTGGTAAAAAGTAGTGTTTCCAGTCCATGGCACATCCACTGGTTGCTCGTTAGTCTTAACTATACCAGCGGACAACACTTTGATACACAATATGCACAATGCCGTTTAAAAACATACCAACGACGAGCGACGCCGTGACCTCTCCCTGCTCCCCAGACATGCAGCTCATCGACATCGGCTCGACGCACCTCGGCCCCCTCATCTCGGCCAATGTGGCTGCAGCCAAGACCTTTGTGATGTACCGCACGCACGGCCCACCGTTCCTCACGGCCAAGCGGCCCTTCGCGGCCCTGCACTACGCCGCCAACGAGCTCGACGGACTCGCCGGTCAGGATGCTCCTCCGACACTTCTGGACGTGCTGCACGAACGACATCTCGTCGTTAACAAAGCCTCCGCTGGAGCTGACACGTTTCTGCCCGGCGACGGCACGAGACGTGACATAAGCCAATGGCGCCCAACTGCTGAAACATATTCTTAGTTCTTTCGGTAAAGTCACGTTGAAGGGAAACAACAAAATAATAAAATATATAAAACAATAAAAAAATCTCACGACGTTTCGACCATAACACAAACATCCCAATGCAAGACCACAGAGCTTGGGCAATTGTTGGCGCCGACTCGGACTGCCTTCCTGCTTGTCTGGTTTTCCCATACCTCCTCGTGCTAAAACTGTATGCGTGTGAAAAACTCTGCAACGTTTTGACATATCATTTGCATGAGGCGATACAAAATTGATTATAATTATCGTGACACTGTCGCCAAGATGCAACCATTCCACGGAAGTGTAAAATCCAGGCTTTTGTGGGTCATCAGATCCTGTCCCAGTTCTTAAACAGCCACGCCGTTAAATTTCGATTTAAAGCTTTCGTGACTGCAGGGATTCATATTCTTGGTTTTTTTCGGTAAAGTCACGTAGAAGGGAAACAAAATAATAAAAATATAAAACAATAAAATTCTCACGACGTTTCGACTGCAACACAAGCAATTATCATCAGGTCTGAAAACCACAGCAAGAAAATTTGAAAAAAGTGGCGGGTTTTTTTTACGTTAGCACCACGGAGAGCGATTTGGCAGTTTGTTCAGATGGACGAGTCCATCTATGTTCGGAAAAGAGGAGGGGGGAGACGAAAAATAATGGATGCGGTCTGAAAGCCACCGCGTGAACAATCAATTAAGACCCGAAATGGTTTATCAAATCCTTCCAATGATTGCCAAGCCAGAATCCATCTTCTCGGTTGAAATTGTCTGTGTTTGTATATGTGGATAGCCTCATGAACGAATCTCTCATGGCAGCCAGATGGCTTCCAAAGAACCTGTCTTGGAGAAGTCAATGTCATGTGAGCCTACTGAATTATAAGAGTGATCTGCCACGGCCGAGGTGTTGGTCCTACCGTGTTTTAGGTCTGCTTTGTGTTCACGAATGCGGCCTGAGACATGTCGTTTGGTTTCTCCAATGTAACTACTACCACAGAGGCAACTTAGTTTGTAGACGCCAGGGTACTGTATGTCCGGAATCACATCTTTTATAGACGGAACCAGATCACGGATTTGATGTAATGTGTTGAATTGGACCTGGATCTTGTTTATTCAAGATTTTGGAGATCTTTTTTGTGATCCCCGCATTGTAGGGTAAATTGATGGTTTTGAAAGGCTCCTCAAGAGGGTCCTTCTTCATGGTTGGAGTGATAGCTTTGCGGATTGTGTAGACGGAAGAATCAAGAATATATATAGCCACGCCGTTGTTAAAACCAACACCTGGGAAACACGCTCGAGTCCTCATTGCTGTGCTTGTCGCTGTGTCCTCACGTCCCTGTGTCCTCACGGTCCCTGTGTCCATGCCTGTGTACTACCGCTCCCTCCCGACCCCAGGCGGGAAGGACACGGTGGTGGGGATCAGCTTGTGGGCTCACTTCACGGGGTTCCCCGTGTCTTTCTACGTCACTCGCATGAGGGGCATTTGCGCCGCGGTCGTCCGCCTGCTGAAGCGAGCCCCCGGCACGCTGGTCGTCTTCAAGTCGGCCAACACCAGCTACCACTCGGTCTACCAGTCCGATTGGCTCTCTCTTCAACTGGACCTCGTCATGCGCCGTCTCATGGCGGGGTTGCCCGTGGTTATCTTGGACGCCTGGGAAATGACGGCGGCCCACCGCTTCCCCGACAACTTGCACCCCGACCCCGTCATCATCCACAACGAGATCAAGCTCCTCCTGGCCTTCGTGTGTCCCCAGTGAGACCCATTCGAGATGCCTGTGGGCCCAGGGAGACTCCTGTCTCGCCTGTGTGTCCACCGAGAGGATGCCGATAGGGTGGTTTTGTCCAACTGTAGTTCTGCTCGCTGCAGGAAACCCAAGAGGCGGCTTTGCGCCTCCTGGGTGCTACGGCAATGCGGACGACGAGGCTTTGGGAGCGTGGCTCCTCGTTTGCCCCCCTCCCCGACTCTGCCCAAAGGGTTCCCCGTGCACGAGAACCTTGGGCGGAAGAGAATTTGCCGAGGAGTCGGCCACAGCAGACTTTGGAGAGGGGGCCTCGCTTGGGGGCCTTGCCAGCAGGAACCCTCAGGAGGACCTCCGCTTGGGGGCGACACGGAAGGGCCCTGCAGTAGAGCCTTGGCCGCTTATTGCAGAAGCTCGTAGTTTGAGCCCGGCGGGCGCCCTGGTTGCCGTGTTCTCCCAATTATAAAAGACGCGCCATGAAGATGCACCCTATACTTTGGGGTCATTTTGTAAAAAAGAAATTATAATCACCAGAATATGGAACGGGTATATAGCGTCGTCTTCCAGATGATTATTACCAAACGCGTTGCTTTAAAACTGGCAGAGGGTTGTCTTCTGGAAGATTATTCTGAACTATGTTAAAGCGATTCCTGTTCGCAGCACTATGAGACGCACACCCAACTATAGCTTTAAATACTGAGTCAAGAGTGCATTCGTATAGGGGGAAAAAAGCAAAGTCTTCAACAGACTGTTGGGACAAGTGCTGTTAACCAGTAGTACTTACGGAGGCTGGCACGGCACACGATGGGGTGGATGGCAAATACCACGCCTTGGTCTCCAAAATTGCTGATGTTTACACACCACACCAGGTACTCATTTGAGGCTGAGTCGACCAGTTCAGATAATTATCACTGGTGTTGACCGTGATCAGTAATGAAACTTGGGTCGCTGGGTTGATAGTGCAGTGGGCTGACCGCTCCACTACCGCTCCGCCATGTAGGCAAGTACGGTACTCGCACACGCCAATCACGAGCCACACTGCACAAACACGTGTTGGATGTGAAGTTTTATCAGTACCATGATGTACCTGAGACTCGTACACACAGACACGCACACAAATGACCCCCCCCAAATTAGCCTACAAAGGCTGTTGGGGCAAGTGCTGTTAGCGAGCACCCTATGAAGGCTGGCACAGCACACAAGGGAGATGGTGTGGCCTAACACTATGCCTGGCCACCTTTGTCTACCCAGTGCTGATGTTTAACGCACCCTGCATTAGGTACTCATTTAAGGACAATTGACCTAGGGAAGGACCCAGGACTGGTTCTGATATTACTTGCCCACTGGTATTGACTGTGAGCAGGAATCGAACTCAGAACGCTGGGGTTTGTAGCGCAGTGCGCTAACCGCTGTGCCACTGCTCCCCACACACACGCGCGCACAGACACACACACGCGCACAGACACACGCGCACACAGACACACACACGCGCGCACAGACACACGCGCGCACAGACACAGACACGCGCGCACGCACACACACGTATCGAAAAACAGCAAGTGAGAAAAAACTAAAAATTCAGCAGGTGCTGACAAGGGTTGCCTTGATATCCGCTTAAACCTTACGTAGAATGTCGTTACGACGATGGTGTTTGTAATCAATTAGCCATGAATCTATAAGTGTATTTTGCGTTCTTGTCTTTGTTTTGCTGAACAAGTGCGAATAAAGGTTTACTGAAGAGTTCTTCAATTGCAGCTCGCTCGCCTCGCGTCTCATAATAATCATTGCCACTCTTACGATCCGTAGCGCTCACCGCTGCCAAACTAGGTACAATTAAATAACTAAATGAGCCAAAACAGTGACACCACATCGCTGCCAATAACCCCAATTGCTCCTAAAGATGCTTGGCAAATCACTAATTTGACCATGAGCAATAGCTATTCATCTCACACTTTAAATGTCGTCTTTCCACGTCCGTATTTTGTGGGCAAGTAACGCATTGTTTGCCAAGATAATTCAAACGCAGGCACGCATTGCAATACCACGGCAACCCTAGCACAGGTGTGAGATGGGATTTTGACGCCAAAGAAATCAGGAGGACCCCGCGGGGAGGTAACAGAACACTTTCCTATTTTTTTTTAAAACCCATTTCTTTAGAACTGCTTGTTGTGTTTCGTTTGTTGTCCTTCCCCACGCACCTCCAATTAGCACGTTTGGGTACGTACAGTGTCAAAAAAAGTTCAACATACATATATTGAAGTCTCGGTTACAAATGATAGAAATTGGGCTCCACCCCATCCCCCGCACTCCCAAATTCTCAACATTACATTATTAAAGCTAGAATGGCAAAAACTGACTGGGGGGGGGGGGGGAAGGGGGTTAAAAATTACATCGTATTCTGATCCCGGTGGCCAACATGATATGGGGTCAAAACGCTATCTCACACCGACACCAATGCTCTGACGCTTGCGGATAATGTAAACAGTTCCACCCCGCTGGGCGGTACAGTCATGGGTGGGGGGTGGGGTGAGGTTCCCGTTGAGGAGTGGGGGGCCCTGTCTGGGTGGGCTTACATGGGCCCCCCACCCCATATCCGGGTCCACATCCGAGCGAGCAGTCGCGGGAGCAGGACCGACACCCCAAAAATCGCGCAACTTTAAAATCGCCTCCTGCCGCGACTGTTTTGTCCACATCTCAGCGAAGAGCTGCTGCACAAGAGGGCGTGGCTACCGAGCCTCTGGTCACACCCCTCACAGCATAGCCACACCCCCCTTGCACGCTCGGTCTGCCTCTCCACACATCAGGATTGTAACCATTCGCAAATTATGAATGGGTGGTTACAAACAGCCGAGTGGATCGACGCTAGAAAGCGAAATCTCGTCCAATAGCTGCGACCAGTCGAGCAGGTTGCTCGCAACCGGTTGCTCGTAACGAAGTTGCGCGTAGGTTGGGACCCGGATTTACACAAGGACCCCCCCTCCCCCTCCCGTCGGTGACAGTAGCAATTACAGCATAAAGTACAAACTAACAAACTCACGGTTGTCTCGTAATTCCTCGTGAAAGCTGCCATTTCTCTACCATCGTTCCAGTTTCGTATTATTTTACAGAAATAAAAATCTACCAGTACATTTACACGCGCCGTCCGTTTTCTGATTCTTTTTTTTGGGGAAATGTTCTTTTAAAAAGAATATTTTTGCTTGTTTCCACCCTCTCGTTATAAAATAGAGCGCCGCTCCTGCCCAGCACACACACTCACACACACCTATACACACTCGCACACGCACTCATACACACACACCTATACACATGCACTCACACACACATATGCACACACCTAAACGAACACACGCACTCATACACACTTATACACACTCACCTAAACACACTCACACGAGCACACGCACTCATACACACACACACCTATACACACCGATACACATTCACACCTACACACACTTACTCATACCTACACAAACGTACTCATACACAGTCACTCACCTACACAAACACACGCACTCACACACACACCTATACACACTCACACACACCTATACGAACACGCGCTTATACACACTCATACTCACGATATAAAACACGCGCACTCCAACACACAATCAAACAAACGTGCACTCATACACACTTGCACACTCGCATCTATACACAATCATATACACATACAAAGACATCCATACATAACATATACACCTAAACACTCACTCATACACACCCATACAAACGTATGCAATCATGCGCATAGCATTACACATCCAAAGGCAAACATCCCCCCCCCACCCATAGCTGAACAGGCTGTAGGATCCATCACATTCACACACAACTACCGTACACACACACTCGCAAAAACTCGCACTCACGCACACACACCCATACGCGGGCACATGCACCCACCCGCCCACACACGGCAATGCAGAGACCCCCCCCTGCAAAGCCTGGACACTCTTTTGTAGGTTGCCCAATTAGTGAGCACCCATTAAGGCTGACGTGGCACGTTACACGCGACACACACACACGCACCCTGACCCGCCATCGGCTCCCCCACCGCCGACGTCGAAACGCTGCTGCAGGCAGAATAATTGTAGGCAAAGTCGACCGAGGGGGGGTCGCACAAGCCAGGCGCCGATATATGGCACGGCCTGGGATCGAACCGAGGCCTTTGGGTTTATAGCACACTGTGCCAACCACTTGACCGCCTCTCCCCCGATGCACACGAGCTCATACACAAAGACAAAGGTTCACCAACCTCCCCCCGCCATATACACTTCAACAGTCTGTTGGGGCAAGTGCTGTTAGAAAGCACCTACGAAGTTTGGCACAGCACACGAGGTGGTTGGGTGCACCAGGTTCTCATATAGGGCTGAGTTAACAACTAGGGGAGGGCCCAGGACCAGGTCAGATATTCATCAGCGATGTTGGTGGCCGCGAGGGCGGAATCGAACTCGGGTCGTAGATGGGTCCATCAAGCAGTGCGCATTAACCACTGCGCCACCACTCCCTACAAACACACACAATTACACGCACGCACGCACGCGGTGCAGTGGTGGCACGGGGTGGCTGCGAGCGGCTCCTCCCGAGCCGACGGTGAGATCCTCGCGTCTTTACGTCAGCATGGACCTGCGTCGGCGCAAAGACAAAGTCACCCCACCCCCCCCCCGCCAAGCGCCGTTAGCAAGTAGCAGCATCAACAAAGGCAGGCACGGCGCGGTGCCTAGGAGAGTGGTGGTGTGGCTGGGGCGACGGCCGTGCCCGCTTCGTCTCCCCACGCAGCGGGGAGACTCGGGAAACGGCGTCGAGTCAATCAATAGCGTGAGGCCCTTCTGGCGCCTCTCCAGAAACCCTCGACCCCCAATCGCCCGACAGGAACACGTTCGTAAAATGGGAAAGCACATAAGACGTGAAATACAGGAGCCACGTCGTTAGGGTCCCACTTGGGGAGCCGGGAGGGAGTTGGCTCCCTTATCAGGGTGTCCCGCTAGGACAGGCCTCATGGCATCATCGGAACCGGGCCCTTGGAGCAACACGAGATGATGACTGAATCGTCGCCCGCGTACGCGAGTGTGAGTACGCACGTGTGAGTATGCACATGCGAGTACGAGTGTACTAGTGTATGAGTGTGAGTGCGCGAGTACGAGTGTGAGGACGAGTGTGTATGTACAGTGAGGGAAAAAAGTATGTGATCCTAGATTTAAAGCTTTCGTGACTGCTAGGATCCATACTCTTTGGTTCTATTGGGTAAAGTCACGTAGGTGAATATAATTTAGCATTGAAATAGCTCAACTTAGCTATTTCAATGAGCCATTTCAATGCTAAATTATATGCTAATTCCTTTGTCAAGGCGCTTTGTTTTCTTCTCACACAGCTTAAAGGTCGTGATCCAAGCATGGCTTCTCTCACTCCAGCGCTGTCCTCCAGATAGTCTCGTCCCTTCACCTGATGAAGGCCGCTTGTGTTGTGGCCGAAACGTCGTGATTTTTTGTTATTTTATTTTCACCTACGTGACTTTACCCAATAGAACCAAAGAGTAAGTATGTGATCCCCTGCTGATTTTGTACGTTTGCCCACTGACAAAGAAATTATCAGTCTATAATTTTAATGGTAGGTCTATTTGAACAGTGAGAGACAGAATAACAAGAAAATCCAGAAAAACGCATGTCAAAAATGTTATAAATTGATTTGCATTTTAATGAGGGAAATAAGTATTTGACCCCCTCTCAATCAGAAAGATTTTTGGCTCCCAGGTGTCTTTTATACAGGTAACGAGCTGAGATTAAGAGCACACTCTTAAAGGGAGTGCTCCTAATCTCAGCTTGTTACCTGTATAAAAGACACCTGTCCACAGAAGCAATCAATCAATCAGATTCCAAACTCTCCACCATGGCCAAGACCAAAGAGCTCTCCAAGGATGTCAGGGACAAGAATGTAGACCTACACAAGGCTGGAATGGGCTACAAGACCATTGCCAAGCAGCTTGGTGAGAAGGTGACAACAGTTGGCGCGATTATTTGCAAATGGAAGAAACACAAAAGAACTGTCAATCTCCCTCGGCCTGGGGCTCCAAGCAAGAGCTCACCTTGTGGAGTTGCAATGATCATGAGAACGGTGAGGAATCAGCCCAGAACTACACGGGAGGATCTTGTCAATGATCTCAAGGCAGCTGGGACCATAGTCACCAAGAAAACAATTGGTAACACACTACGCCGTGAAAGACTGAAATCCTGCAGTGCCCGCAAGGTCCCCCTGCTCAAGAAAGCACATATACATGCCCGTCTGAAGTTTGCCAATGAACATCTGAATGATTCAGAGGACAACTGGGTGAAAGTGTTGTGGTCAGATGAGACCAAAATGGAGCTCTTTGGCATCAACTCAACTCGCCGTGTTTGGAGGAGGAGGAATGCTGCCTATGACCCCAAGAACACCATCCCCACCGTCAAACATGGAGGTGGAAACATTATGCTTTGGGGGTGTTTTTATGCTAAGGGGACAGGACAACTTCACCGTATCAAATCTTGGGTGAGAACCTCCTTCCCTCAGCCAGGGTATTGAAAATGGGTCGTGGATGGGTATTCCAGCATGACAATGACCCAAAACACACAGCCAAGGCAACAAAGGAGTGGCTCAAGAAGAAACACATTAAGGTCCTGGAGTGGCCTAGCCAGTCTCCAGACCTCAATCCCACAGAAAATCTGTGGAGGGAGCTGAAGGTTCGAGTTGCCAAACGTCAGCCTCGAAACCTTAATGACTTGGAGAAGCTCTGCAAAGAGGAGTGGGACAAAATCCCTCCTGAGATGTGTACAAACATGGTGGCCAACTACAAGAAACGTCTGACCTCTGTGATTGCCAACAAGGGTTTTGCCACCAAGTACTAGGTCATGTTTTGCAGAGGGGTTAAATACTTATTTCCCTCATTAAAATGCAAATCAATTTATAACATTTTTGACATGCGTTTTTCTGGACTTTTTTGTTGTTATTCTGTCTCTCACTGTTCAAATAAACCTACCATTAAAATTATAGACTGATCATTTCTTTGTCAGTGGGCAAACGTACAAAATCAGCAGAGGATCAAATACTTTTTTCCCTCACTGTACAAGTGTGAGTGTGTGTGTGAGTACAAGTGTATGTGTATGAGTGTGTGTTTGTATAAGGGAGCGATAGTGCAGTGGTTGGCGTGCTGCGCTATGAACCTGGCGACCCGGGTTCGATCCGGTGTGTAAACATTGCCACTAGGGAGACAAAGGCGGTCGGGCGTGGTACTGGCCACCCACCCCCTCGTGTACCGTTCCGGCCTTCATAGGTGCTCGCTAACAGCACTTGCCCCTACAGTCTGTTAAGGCTATATGAGGGATCTTTGTTTGTATGAGTACGAGTGTGTGTACTAGTGTATGTGTGTGTGTGCGAGTGGGGAGCGGTCGTGCAGCGATTAGCGTGCTGCACTACGAACCTGGTGACCAGAGTTCGATTCCCGCTCACAGCCAAAATCAGTCGCGATTATCTGAACTGGTCCTGGGCCTCCCCCCTAGGTCGACTCAGCCTCAAATGAGTACCTGGTATGGTGTGTAAACATCGCCACTGGGGAGACAAAGGTGGCCGGGCGCGTGCCATTCTGGCCTTCATAGGTGCTCGCTTACAGCACCTGCCCCAACAGTCTGCTATAGGCTATACGGGGGATCTTTGTCTTTGTGTGCAAGTATGAGTGGGAGTACAAGTGTAAGTACGATTGTGAGTGCGAGGGCGCGAGTGTGCGAGTGTATGTGTACGAGTGTGTACGAGTGTGTGGGAGTATTTGTATGAGTTTGCGCGTGTGTGTACGAGTGGGAGTACGAGTGCAAGTACGATTGTGAGTGTGAGGGCGCGAGTGTGTGTGTGTACGAGTGTGTACGAGTGTGTGGGAGTATTTGTATGAGTTTGCGTGTGCGTGTACGAGTGGGAGTACGAGTGCAAGTACGATTGTGAGTGTGAGGGCGCGAGTGTGCGAGTGTACGAGTGTGTACGAGTGTGTGGGAGTATTTGTGAGTATGAGTTTGCGCGTGCGTGTACGAGTGGGAGTACGAGTGCGAGTACGATTGTGAGTGCGAGGGCGCGAGTGTGCGAGTACGAGGTTAGAGCACAAGAGTGCGAGGGCGTGAGGGTGTGAGCGGGGCGAGCCATACGCACCGGAGCGATTTGAGTCGCTCTTTCTCCGTCTGGTTCTCGGGGCTCTCGCTCTCGTACGACGCCACCTGCAGAGCTGGGGGTTGCAATGCACGCCGTGTTCGACGCAAGCGCGCGCGCACACACACACACGACACACACAAAGCACAGCAACAAAGACAATGGCACACAAAGCACACGTGCGATGGCACACAGGCACACAACCCACATGCGCGCGCACACATACACACGACGACACGCAGTGAGCATGACATATCATACATGGCGCTCAAAACACAGCACGTGCTGAACGGGTTTGCGCTGGAGGTAGTGTGCGAGTGAGTGGATGAGTGAGCGGGTGGGCGAGCGAGCGGGCGAGTGAGCCGGTGAGCGAGCGAGTGTGTGAGCGGGCGAGCGGGTGGATGAGCGAGTGGGTGAACGGGCGAGTGGGTGAGCAAGCGGGTGGGGCGAGTGGCTCACCCTCCTCGCTGTGGTAGACGGGCGCGTGCTGCAGGTAGTCCCGCACGCTGGGCACGGAGGGGTATGGGCAGCGCGCGCGTCGCCACGTCACGAACTCGCGTACCTGCCGCGTCAGCTCCTGCAGCTTCTACTCAACCACCACAGCACGGGCGGGGAGGCGAGGGCAGTGGAGAGGACGGTGGCAAGGGGGAGATATGAGGTGAGAGTGATGAGGGGAGGAGGGTCTTTACATGGGGCAGTTTCCACAGGTCAAGTGGACATGCGGTCAAATTAGAAGTCCATGGCCATTGCAAATCATCCCAGTTCCACACACACAGACACGCAACAAACACAAACATCCCCGTTTAGCCTTTAACAGACTGTTGGGGCAAGTGCTGTTATAGCGAGCACCTATGAAGGCCGGCATAGCACAGGAAGGGGTCGGTGGCCAGCACCATGATTAGACACCGTACTGGGTACTCATTTGAGGCTGAGTCGACCACAGCGCCACAGAGTCAGGCGGGTAAGCAGGTGAATGTGTGGGTGAATGGATGAGTGGCTGAGTAAGTGAGTGAGTGGCTAGTTGAATGAGTTGGTGTGTGGGTGATTGGGTGGGTGAGTGGGTGGATGAGTCGATGTATGGATGAGTCGGTGGGAGAGTGGGTGGGTGGGTGGGAGAGTGGGTGGGTGAGTGAGTTGGTGGGTGGGTGAGACACCTTGGGTGAGGTGGTGGATGAGCGAGTGGGTGGGTGAGTGGCGAGGTGGACTGTTCACCTCCACGTTGAGGTGGCCGCTGGGCAGCAGGCTGGGACTTGACTCGTTGAGGAAGTAAATATCCTTGAGGAGGAGGCTGAAGAAGGGGATCACGATCTGAACCAAGACACAGACAAAGATCCCCCATTTAGCCTACTCAAACTATTAGTGCTGTGAACGAGCGCCTATGAAAGGCAGTGCGGCACAAAAGCGGGTGGCGGTGACGTCACCACAGATCTTGTGCCAGACCCAGTGCACTCGGAGTGTGAGAGGCTTGCTGCTGGCAGGATGTCACAGGACAGACCCAGCAGGTGTCATGGGATGACTGGCTGAGATGACTGGCAACTGTGTCGTCAACTTGCGACGTTTTAGCCGCCCGGCGCTCCGCTCATTGTTGTTGAGCATCGCTCTCTTGCCCTCCGTCGTTGTTGGAGGGCGACTGCCTCCAATGCCAAGTAGCGTCTTTCACGAGCCTCCTCCATAGAGACCAATCTTGACACCACTGGTGCAGGTCTTCGGCAATTCTACTCGGCTCAATGTCCTCCTGTAACCACATCAGTGCATCTCTTCTTCCGCCTGTACTGGTGTCCATTTAGCCCCCTATATCCGGCCAAACAGAAGCGGATTGGGCATGCGGTGGCTGACATGTGGGCTATGTGACCTCGGCCAACGCAGCCTTGCCTGCAAGAGGAGCTCATTGAAGGGACTGTGTCTAGATCTCTCAAGGATTTGTCAGCTCCTCAAACGTAATCCAGCCTGGTTAAACCGAGGATGGATCGTAGCCAACCGGAATCCTTTAAGCCGGCACAGATGTTCCATCAAAGCAGTTGTGGGGAACGTGTCCAGCCCGCGGGCCGTATGAGGCCCGCGAAATCATTTGGTCTCTGGCCTTGCCAAGGCAACCGCAGGTGGGAGTCGAAATTCAATAAATCTAGGAGCAAACCTGGAAAAGCAGTTGCGAGTAGCAACAACATCGTCAATACCAGCTAACATCACACGCCTCGCCAAAGAGAAGCAGTTCCAGCCATCACAATACGGGTGTATTAATGAAATGTTTGACGAAACATAACAGGCTAATTTTTAAGTTGATAATTTTGCATGGCCCGCGAATGATGTTATAAATATCCAAATGGCCCTTGGCAGAAAAAAGGTTCCCCGCCCCTGCATTAAAGGGTTCCAAGTTTCATAGGGATAGGGAAGGGAGGGCATAACGGTGGTTGGGAAGACCCGGAGCTTTGTGTGGAGCGACAGGCCAGACCAGCTACAAGACCCTAACTCATGCGCTGACCCACACACACACACGCTCGCTCGTTCGCTCGCTCGCTCGTTCGCTCACCTTCTCACGGTCGCTCTGTGCCGCGTGTGCCCGCTGAGCGGCGGCGCGTAGGGCGGTGCGGTAATTACAGAAGTTGCTCGTGGGGTCCATGTGGTGCTGCACACACAGAGACAAAGACCCCCCCACCCCTGTAGCCTTAATAGATTTTGTGGCAAGTGCTGTTAGCGAGCACCTACGAAGGCCAGCACAGCATGCGAAGGGGTGGGTGGCCAACACCACGCCCGGCCGCCCTCGTCTCCCCAGTGGAAATGCTGACACACCACACCAGGTACTCATTTCAGGCTGAGTCGATCTAGGGGAGGCCCAGGACTGGTTCAGATAATCGTCACTGGTGTTGGTCGTAAGCGGGAATCGAACTCGGGTCGTCGAGTTCGTAGTGCAGCGCGCTAACCACTACGCCACCATTCCCCTCTCACACATGCATGCAAAAGCACGCACACACACACACACACGCGTACAGATGCACAAAACACACACACACACACGTGCATGCACAGATGGGAAAGAGGTGGCAGAGGAGGGTATTCGGTAACATCGTCACCACGGTTACGGCGAGAGACGGCGAGCGGTAACGCGAAACCTTGGGGGTCACGTGGGGTCACGCGGGGGTCACCTCAAGGATCTGGAATTTGTCGGTGTTGACGTGGGACCAGGTCTTCTTGAGTCGTGCCACGGGACTCATGTTCATCCCGGCTGCAACACGGGGGGGGAGGGAGGACATCATATTGGATGGTTGAGTGGCTGTGTGAGCATGCTGCGCAAGTTGGCACGGTGGGAAGCACAGGTGGCACATCCGCCAGTCATCTCAGACAGTTAACCCCATGGCACCTGGGTCTGTCCCGTGCTGTATTCATGTTGGACTTGTTTTGCACCGTACATAGCCAACGGTGCTAATCGGAGGCGTCACCTGCTAGCGAGGCTTTGACACTTTGCATGGCCTCAAGTGCACCTGGCCGGCACAAGCGTCGTGGTGACGTCACCGCCACTTAGTGGCGAACGGCGGCGGCTTTTGTTGTTGTTGTGCGTTTGGGGAGTGGTGGCGCAGTGGTTAGCGCGTTGCGCCACGCCCCCAGCGACCAGCGTTCAATTTTCCCTCACGGCCACCAACACCAGTGAGGATTATCTGAACCGGTCCTGCCCCTCCTGTAGGTCGACTCAGCCTCAAATGATGACCCGGTGCAGTGGGTAAAAACATCAGCAATTGGGAGACAAAGGCGGCCGGGTGTGGTTCTGGCCACACCGCCCCCGCGCAGGTGGTCAGTGTCAGCCTTCGAAGGGTGCTGCTTGCTCACAACAGCCTGTAAGGGATACACGGGGGATCTTAGTATGTTTTGTGCGAGTAGACGCGAGTGGCTCACTGATGATGGCCATGAGCGAGTTGAAGTTCCCTAGGTTGAGACATTCGCGGGCGACGTCGATGAAGAACTCCATCACTCGCGCGCGTTGCTTCTTCTTGCCGGGCTGCACGAGGGCACACAGACAAAGCACCCCCCCACCAGGTAAAGCCTTGAAACAGCCTGCTGGGCCAAGTGCTGTTAGCACACACGGCCAACGCATGCAAACGTACACCAAACATAATACATGTATTGGACATTTTTGTTCCAATCTTTACGATTCCGCTTGTTCACCCAGGAAAGGTGCATCGAGTCTCATGGCTCTTTTCCAGGAGGGTCCTGCCAAGTGTTTTTTTTTTTAGCACAGAAAGACAAAGTTCCCCCCGTGTTATCTACAGACCAATGGGCAGGTTCTGTTAGCGAACACCTATTACGGACGCCACGGCACACGAGGGGGTGGGTGGCAAGCACCATGCCCGGCCACCTTTGTCTGCCTCGTGGTGATGTTTACACACCGCACCAGGTACTCATTTGAGGCTGAGTCGACCTAGGGAAGGCCCGGGACCGGTTAATATAATCGCCACTGGTGTTGGCCGTGAGCGAGAATCGAACTCCGGTCGCCCGGTCCGTAGAGCAGCGTGCAAACTTCTGCACTACCGCTGCCCTACAGGTGGTGCATCTGCCTCCAGTCATCTCAGGCAATCAACCCATGGCACCTGGATCTGTCCCGTGATGCATGCATGTTGAACTTCTTTCGCACCGTACGTAGCCAATCGTGCCACGTACACACACACACACACACCTGTGCAAGCGTGCGAGGACACACTTAATTGCACGGAGGGAATTCTGGGTAAGCCACCCACCACGCAAATCTCGGTGGCCACCAGGTAGGTGAGGCGGTTGAACCAGTCCACGTAGACCTCCAGTGGGGGGCTCTGCACTTTGGGAGGGCCCTTATTCTGCAGCCCACCCACGCACGCACACGACAAAAACAACAACAGCTATTCGCCAACCGGTCCTTTATTTGTAGTTTTTTTGCGTTTTCAAAAATTTGATGCAAACGACGTTTTATGAAATCGATGACGATTCACGGGTGATTTCGTTTGGCCACGTACTGACGCGGCCAAATAAACTATCACTCTTTGCTACTTTAATTTTTTTTTTACCAGGTAAGGCCCATTGAGCTATATAGCTCTTTTTCATAAGCGACCTGGCCATAACAAACAATAGCTGAATGCAGTGCATCATCACGTGGACATTGATAGCAGCGGCGAGAAGACCCTAAACGCGCGACGTTGTTTATAAAATGTGGATATTTGTGTCGTGGGACCCCTCCACAACCCAACAGAGCAAACAGAAATGAAACTGCCACGTGCACGAGCGCTTAACGACGTACCAATTGATTACTCTCCCAGCTCGCCGGCTCTCAGCCTAGGGGAGGCCCAGGACCGGTTCAGATTAACCGTCACCAGTGCTGTTTGCCGAGAGCGGGATTCGAATTCGGGTAGCTTAGTTCGTAACACAGTGCAATGCCATCCACGGCGCTATTGCACATACACGAAGATAAAGACAAAGATCCCCCGTGTAGCCTTAACAGACTGTAGGGGCAAGTGCTGTTAGCGAGCACCTATGAAGGCCGGAACGGTACGCGAGGGGGTGGGTGGCCAGCACAACGCCCGACCGCCTCATTTCAGGCTGAGTCGACCTAGGGGAGGCCCAGGACCGGTTCAGATAATTGTCACTTGGTGTTGGTCGTGAGCGGGAATCGAACCCTGATCGCCGGGTTCATAGCGCAGCGTAGCGCTAGCCGCGACACTGCCGCTCCACGCACACGCACGCACTCACGCGCACTCACGCGCACACGCACTCACGCGCACACGCACTCACGCGCACACGCACTCACGCGCACACGCACTCACGCGCACACACGCTCACGCGCACACACACTCACGCGCACACACACACACTCACCTCCTCGCCGTCCGCCTGCTTGCTGCTGCTGCTGGCCGCCATGATGGCCTGCATGAACTCCTCGGGGCCAATGTCGTTCATCCGCTCCTACGTGCGTATCCAGGCCGACACGCGGCATTAGCGAGCGCCTATTAACGCCGGTTACAGCATGCGGCATTTTGACTCCATATAGAATATAATGTATTGTTTGAACTCTGCGGCATAAACACCACTATCGCAAAACAACAGCGTTTGTGCACACCTGAGCGATCAGTTGCATGCAAGTGAACCTCTCATGCGTGGATGTCTCCGCAACTGGTTGCGAGTAACCCGCGCAACCGTTTGCGAGCAAACCGTGCAACCAGTTGCCGCTCCGAGCAGCGACTCTCGAGTCGCAGGCATCCATCCGCTCTCCGATTTCATTGCCACGTGACGCATTTGCAAGGATGCGATTGGTTATTACAATCGTGAATTCCCGGCACACGCGTAACAACGACATTCTCGCACGATCGGATTGAACGTGACACATCACAAGAGCGTGACGCTCGCAAGCAAAGCTGCGGATGGGGCAGCTGTGGGTGGTTATGCTGCGCCACTAGTTTATCCTCGGCCAATGAACCCCAACTGCTACTACATACACCGTCACCAGAACCACGACTGATTCCACACAACTACCACAATCAGAACCACAGCTGCCACCACAACCGCAAGCGCAACCAACACCACGACTGCTACGACAACCACCATCAGCACCACAACCACTACATCATCATCATCAGCCATGGTCGATCCACTGCTGGATGAAGGCCTCCCCCCCCCACCCCTCTAAAGCCGCGGCTGTCTCTCATGCTCGCGACGTCAGACAACCGCAAAACTCAGAAACGAAAGCTTACCAGTTCGATGCCCGTCAGCTGCTGCGCGAGCGTGTAGGGGTCAGCGCAGGTGGCCGCCAGGTCCCAGGTCCCGCAGGGGCCCACCGAGAGCACCCCCGACGCACCGACCTTGGCGGTGGTCGGCTCTGCCGATGGTGCCGACGATGCCGAGGACGCAGAATCCGGCGCAGCGATGCAGTGGAGAGAGAGCCGGTCGAGGGAAGGGACCTCCCACGGCAGGCCCGGCGTGGGGGGCACAGGGGGACATCCGAGAGGGACGTGGAATCTGTCAGCCTCCTGCGGGGCGGGCGATGGGGGGGGGGGAGGTGTGTCAGAACCGCAGTGATGCGGCACAGCGCCGCCAACAGAACCAGAGAAACCGCTGCGAGCAAGAGACGGTGGTTGAGACGCACCATCGCTACCACGGCAACCGAGATGGAGAACCACAATCACCAACCCCAACAAACACCACCACCAGAGCCGCAACCGCTAACACAACCACCAGCAGCACGACCACCACCAGAACCACAAACCACAACCACCAACACCACTACCACAATCACAATCGCTAACGCATCCTCAACCACCACCAACACCAAAGACAAAGTTCCGCCGTATAGCCTGAACAGACTGTTGGGGCAAGTGCTGTTAGCGAGCACCTATGAAGGTTGGGACACCACACGAGGAGGTGGCTGGCCAAAACCATGCAAGGCCACCACAAGCACCACCACAACCGCCACCAGTTATGGGCTAAAGTTAGGGGCTAGCATTAGGGGTTAGTGGCAGGGACTAGAGGTAAGAGTTTGGGTTTAGGGTTAAGGTTTAGGGAGTGGGAGCGTCTGTGACCTCTGCATGACCCACGACCCTGCGGGAGACCTCGGCGAGGAGCTGGGCGACCCGCAGATCCTCAAAGTCACGTGGGAACGTGTCGCGCCACTCGGAGAGCAGCTCCGACATGTGCCAGCCAAACCTCCTCCGCTTCGCCTGCACCCACAGGCACACACGCACACAAAGACAAAGATCCCCCCCACGGTAGCCTTAACAGACTGCTGGGGCAAGTGCTGTTGGCGAGCACCTGTGAAGGTCAGCACGGCACACAAGGGGGTGGGGGGTGGCCAGCACCACGCCCAGCCACCTTTGTCTCCCCAGTGGCGATGTTTACGCACCAAACCAGGTACTCATTTGAGGCCGAGTCGACCCAGGGGAGGCCCAGGACCGGTTCAAATAATCGTCACCGGTGTTGGCCGTGAGCGGGAATCGTACCCAGGTTCGTAGCGCAGCACGCTGACCGCTACACTACCACTCCCCACACACACACGCGGGCACATGCACACACACACACGGATACATACGCAGGCACACGCCACATTACAGGCACACACCGCACACACCGTACACAGCACCGGCACGGGATCTTGGCACAGCATGCCAGCACGAGCGGTCCCTCACCTCGTCTCTGAGCTCCTCTGAGTGCCACCGCCGGTCGCTGGCCTCACTCAGCAGCGCCGCGAGGTCGTGCGGCGGAGCAAACAGACGCCCACACAGCAGCACGGTGAACGCAAGCGACTTCTACGGGGCCCGGGGAGACACGGGGGGACACGGGGGAGACACAGGGGAGATACAGGGAGACATGGGAGGGACACGAGGGAGGCACGGGGGAGACACAGGGACACGGGAAAGACAAGGGGAGACAAGGGGAGACAAGGAGGGACAAGGAGGGAAACGGGAGGGACACAGGAAGGACACGGTGGAGACATAGGAGGGACACGGGGGATCCACGAGTACCCGGGAGGGACACAAGGGGAGACAAGGGGAGACACAGCAGGAACACGGTGGGGACATGGGAGGGACACGGGGAGACACAGGGAGATACGTGGAGACACGGACACATGGGGGAACACAAGGTAAGAGACAGCCAGGACCACATGACATCTATTAAATCACTCTCCTGAGCGATTGAGAAAGTGACTTGCCGACGGCAATGATGATGGTCGTGGTGACGATGATGACAGTGACGATTTCGATGATAATATCAATGGTTATCTTCGTGACGTTGATGATGCCTTCCATGTCGATGATGGCAATGGTAACGGTATGTCGCTGACTGTATCCATGATGTCAAATGTACTGGCAATATGGAAAATGGCAGCGACGATGATGTTGGTGGTGATGTCATTAGTGATGGCGTTGGTCGTGATGCTGGTGGTGGCGGTGTCGGCAGTGGCGGTGTTAGTGGTGGCAGTGGTGGCAATGTCGGCGGTGGCAATGTTGGTGGTGACGATGTCGGTGGTGGCAGTTGTGCCGATATCGGTGGTGGTCATGATGTCGGTGGTGGTCATGATGTCGGTGGTGGCAATGTTGGTGGTGACGATGTCGGTGGTGGCAATGTTGGTGGTGACGATGTCTGTGGTGGCAGTTGTGCCGATATCGGTGGTGGTCATGATGTCGGTGGTCATGATGTCGGTGGTGGCGATGTCGGTGGTGGTCATGATGTCGGTGGTGGTCATGATGTCGGTGGTCATGATGTCGGTGGTCATGATGTCGGTGGTCATGATGTCGGTGGTGGCGATGTCGGTGGTGGCAGTTGTGCCGATATCGGTGGTGGTCATGATGTCGGTGGTCATGATGTCGGTGGTGGCGATGTCGGTGGTGGTCATGATGTCGGTGGTGGTCATGATGTCGGTGGTGGTCATGATGTCGGTGGTCATGATGTCGGTGGTCATGATGTTGGTGGTGGCGATGTCGGTGGTGGCAGTTGTGCCGATATCGGTGGTGGTCATGATGTCGGTGGTGGCGATGTCGGTGGTCATGTCGGTGGTCGTGATGTCTGTGGTGGCGATGTCGGTGGTGGTCATGATGTCGGTGGTGGCGATGTCGGTGGTGGCGATGTCGGTGGTGGCGATGTCGGTGGTGGCGATGTCTCACGTCTGTGGGGAAGTCCCCCGTCGGCACGAGTCTGTCCACGAGCGCTGGCAGGTAGCCGCCCACGAGGACCCCAGCCTGGAACACCAGCTCCCCCGAGGTGTCCAGCTCACTCCTGCTCGCGTGTCTGTCCGAATCTGCAACACCCCACGCCCACAACGAGGCTCAAGACGTTGATCACGACGCGGGATCACGATGTGTGCACGTATGTTGAGCTTCTTTCGCACCATACGTAGCCAACCATGCTAATTGGAGGTGCGGGGGAAGGACAACAAACTAAAACGATAGCTCTCATAAAGACGACCGGACGTTATAATAATCTTTAACCTGCCAGAGAACAGGTGGCCACAGTTATCAAAAGGTTTGCTCCCAAATCTTGGCAATAATAAAACAGCGATAAATGGTAAGCCTTCTCATCCAAGGCTCGTAACGTTATTACTGCTAATTAATTCACAGTGGGAAATGTTACCGAACATAAAAATAAAACCATTATTCCCAAGTAATTTGTAGTTTTTTTTTTAAATTCGCAAAACCTCACCGCTAAGGCCCCCGAGGCTGCCCACGCTGCTGTGCCTGTGCGGTTCGCGCGCCGTCAGGACCCCGGGGCATCCGTTGTCGTCCTCCCCCGCTGCTCGCGAGTGCCTGCTCGGCCGGCGCTTCAAGGACCCGCGGGCGTCCGTCGCGCTCGCCGCAGGCCGCCCACCGGCCTGCAGCGCCACGCTGCCCAAGTCGTCCAGCGAGCGCCGGTCAAACCTGTGCGCGAAGACCCCATCTCGGGCGTCCCTGCTGTGCTCGCTCGCGTGTCTGTGCTTGGGTTGCGACGCCGGCGTCATCAGGACCAGCGAGGCGTCTACCGACCTCCTGGCTGTGGACGGCTGTCTGCCCAGTGTATGAATCGAAAAGACCCCGTCGCGGCCGTCCTTCCCCTTCTCGCGGCGGAATTTTTCCGCCATCGTCGTCGCCGTTGTCGCCGCCGCTGCCGTAGTCGTCATCGTCGCCGCCACCGTCGTTAACACCGACGCCGTTGCTGCCGCCGCCGCCGCCGACGCCGACGTAACCTTCGACTTCGCCGTCGATGCGGCCGGGTCCTCGGAGTCCACGCGGGCATCCGCGGCCGGCCCGTCCGGTTCATCTGTCGACAGTTCGAGTATGTCCCGGGATCCTTGGATGCCCCATGCCACCGCGGGGGTCTTCGCGACGTCCACTGGGTGGGCGGGGACCGCTACAATGGGGATAGTCATCCCATTGCCCGTCGCCACATGCCTGATTTTCTGCTGCTGCTGCTGCTTTCTGGGTCCTCCTCCCGTGATGATGGGCTCCACGGGGCCCCGCCCCTCCACCGCCCGCTGCGGCAGGACCCCGACCGAGGCGTCCTTGGCTTTTCCGCGCGCGTGCCTGAATTTTTGTATCGCGAGCAACCCACGCGAGTCCAGCAGGCGCTTCATGGACGGGTGCCGGACCACGCCGGGGCGCTTCTCGACCACCTGTTGCCCCGTCGGGACCCCTCCTCCTACCCCCAATACCGGAGCAGGGGGGGAGTCTACCGCTAGGCGCCGGAGCGGCGGCTGTCGCGGGATCCCATCCAGGGAGCGCCGGTCTCGGTGCGTCGGTGGCGGCGGTGTGGTACCGGGGTCCACGGACCGGCGGAAGGACGGCGGCTGCCGCAGGACCCCGGAGGCATCCGCGGTGCCGTGCCGGATGGATTTTCCGTTGAGCATGGTGGCCAGTGCGAGCGTGTGAGGCATAATTCCGTCCTGCTGGAAAGGGACGAGATCATTAGTGCCGTAATTTTTGCATTGGCATCGTTGTCGTCGTCGTCGTCATCAGCATCATTCATCCCAGGCGCTTAATCGGCTACTCAGCGAGCCACTCACACAGCCAATCACCCATCAAACCACTCACCCACCTAGCCAATCATTTTCTCACCCAGACCATTCATTCACCAATCCACCTATCCGGGTACCCACCACTCAGCACCACCAACATCATACCAATTACAGCCATCAGCACTACCAGCACCATACCAATAAACAATAATTCCATCACCAGGAGCACCCTACCAACAGCACCATCGCTAACACCGCCAACATCAACAATTTGGCTACGTACGGTGTGAAAGAAGCTCAACATACATACGTAAACCTTCACACAATGAGCAGCAGCCCTCAACCACCAACACTGCACAACTGTCGTGACACACCAACACGACAACAATCACCACCATCGACACATTCACCAGAACCACACCAACAGCATAGCAACAACCCAATTAACAGCTCCACCACCATCACCAGCAGCCTCCCCGCCACCACCGCCCCTTGTTAATGTTCCCAGTTGATTCTGTGTGACCAGGGTAAGAACTAGAGACCAGGATAGGAGTTCCATTTGCAAGAGTGAGTGAATGAGTGATAGAATGATAGCGAGCAGTACAGTAAAACCTTGGATTGCGAGTAACTTGGTCTGCGAGTGTTTTGCAAGATGAGCAACATTTTTAAATAAATATTAATTTGATAAACGAGCAAGGGTCTTGCAATACGAGTAGTACGTATACACGCTTTTGTCTGCCGAGCGTCACGTGATCACAACTGATATACGTTGTGCTTTGATATACGAGTGCTGTGGATTACAAACACGTTTCCGGAATGAATTATGCTCGCAATCCAAGGTTTTACTGTATGCGAATGGGTGGGTGAGTGAGTGAGATGGTGGGCAAGTGATAAATTAGAGTCGGGTTGATTCTGTGTGACCAGGGTGAGAACGCATGACACCAAGGCAGGAGTCCCATTTTCAAGAGTAACATAAGTCACCACAAAGACAAATGCAAAACAAATAAAAGTCACAGCAATGAAGCAAAGAGCGATAGGTGCAAAGACTAAAACATGACTGGTGGCCTTATGATTGCATACGTGTGTGTGTGCGCGAGTATAAGTGTGTGTGTGCGTGTATGCGTCAGGTGGTGCATCTGCCAGCCATCTCAGTCAGTCAACCCATGGCACCTGGGTCTGTCCCGTGACCTCCTACCAGAGGGCCTTCTCACACTTAACGTGGGCTCAAAATGCACCTGGCCTGACAAAAGCGACGTGCTGACGTCACCGCCACTTAGTGGTGAAGGACGGTTGTTGTTTTTATGTGTCACGATCTCCACTGCAAATGCAATACGCAGATAATGTGCGCACTGCTGTTGACAGGCGCGAGTGGAGCTGTGTGGGTGTGTGTGCAGATGTGTGGGTTGTTGCGGGAGTGTGTAAAAAAGCGTGTGTTGATGAGCATGTCTTAGTTGACATGTGGTGGATGTGTGCGTGTTGTGGTTGGCACGTGTGTAAGTTGAAGTGTGTGCGTATGTGGATGCGGGTGTCTTCGTATTGTCATGTATGTATGTATGCATGCGTGTGTATGTTATCGTGCGCGTGTGTGTGTGTGTGCTGTGGCATGTCGTGTATTGGTGGATGTGAGTGTGTATGTGTTGGGTGTGTTTTCAATTGGCTAAGAGGCACAAGTCACGCATGGCTATTGTGCTGACGGACAATTACCTGCACGCACTGGCGAATAACAAGTGTGATGCGCGAGAGTCAGTGTGTACGTATGTTTGTGTCAGTATCCACGTGTGCGTGCACATGTACTTGAGTGTATCTGTTTGTGCGCACACACATATGCACGTACACACAAAGACAAAGATCCCCCGTGCAGCCTACACAAGGTTTTTGGGGCAAGTGGTGTTATCGAAAAACCTCTTAAGGCTGCCACGGAGTGGTGTGGCCAGAACCACGCCAGGCCGCCTTTGTCTTCCTTCTGATATTAACACACATTTCAACACACAACTGTATATCCTTTTCTAAAGAAAAAGAAACACACACACACATCTAGACACACACACATTCACGTGTATCCATATGCACTGACAAATATACACGCTCGCACATACACAGTCATACAGATGCACACACTCGCAAGCGCACAATAACACGGACAAACACACACTTGTACAGTCACACAAACTAACACACTCACACATGCACACACACTCACACATGCACACACACGCCCACATAAACAACCGACTCGGGCGCATGCCCACACTGAGAAATTCCTCCGATTACAAGTGTGCGGGGATTTTCAACAAACAGCCCACAAATTCCACTTAAGAGATATTATTTGTGTTATGTCTGTGTTCCCCTCAGCAGACGCGACTCACGCCCACACACACGCCAGCATCACCGGTATAGTTACGGTCACATCCATCATCATCGGCATCGACAGCTGCACCAGCATCCTCATCGGCCGCATCATCATCGGCAGGATATTCATGGTAAAATGGCTCATCATCAGCCAGCATCAGACCCGTCAGCATCGTCAGCATCGTCAGCATCATTATCATCAGCAGAAATGTAGAGAATTACATATCTAGCGGAATCATCATCAGTAACACCATCAGCATTAACATCAGCAGCAGCAAGAATGAAGACTATTACACATCTATCATAATCATCATCAGCAGCATTAACATCACCATCAGCAACAAAAACTATGACACATTCAGCAGCACTCGCACATACGTGTCAGTAGCAGCAGTTAAAAGTTGCGCAACACAGTATCACCTGCACCACCACCGCCACCACCAGCAGCAGCAGCACATTCCTACAGAATGAGGTGAACGCGAGTGGGCTGAAACGGCGCCGCTACAGTCAACATTTCAACATCGCCGAGTGCCCCTCGAGTGCTGCAAGTTGTCAAATCCTGAATGCAGCATCTCCGTCTCTCTCCGCTGCTGCTGCTGCTCATGGGCACTCTTGGGTATTCCATTGAGAGCCGTCGTCAGTGACCGTGGCCGTTTGCGTGACACGCGACGCCCCCCCCCCCCCCGCCCCCCCCCCCGCGAGAGACCGAAAGGGGAAGCGCGCAGACAAGAGAAACAAAACCCACGACGAGCGGGAGAACGACGCCGACCGTCCACGTGATCGACAGCGGGGAGAGCGGGGAGAGCGAGCGGGGAGAGCGAGCGGGGAGAGCGAGCGCGGAGGGCTTGGAGCAGGACGCGTCGCGGGCTCAGGCGAAGGGGGACGATCGGACGACGGTCGGGAATAACATCGGAGCGGCGGTCCGAGGGGGTGGAACGCGTCGCAGCGCTCGTACACCGGTGTGAGACTGAGCGACGGCTACCAAATAAGGCAGGTTGTTTTTGTCTACAAGGGTGGACTGAGATTGCACAGTTGCTAAAACTGAACGAATTTTTTTTTTGTTTTACCAGGTAAGGCCCCACTGAGCTATGTAGTCCTTCTTCAGAAGTGACCGGCCACAAATGACGGCTCAAGGAAGTGGCTTGTCATGACGTGGAAATTTATAGCAGCAGCCAAATACTCTAAACGCACGTCGATTCTAAATGTGGACGGGAAAACCGGAGGACCCGGAGAAAAATACACGCAACCACGGGGAGGAGTGAACACTCAAAACGCTAAATAAACAGGCGTCGGGGTTGGGATCGAACCCACAACCTCCTGTATACCTGGCGAGGTAGTGAACATTTCATCGCCGCGGTGCGACACACGTACCATCCGAGCAATCACTCAAGCACGTTTGACCCCTCAACGCGACTCAAAGTACCCGATGGACGTCGCGGCATCACCAGGCGACGAATCCAGTTGGGAATCCCGCAGAGCAGCGCGACTTCGTGTTACAGAACGGCCCGTGGAAGCGGATACCACAGAGCAATCTCAGAGATCCGTTCTCCTTTCAATTGACACACTGGTCCACACAGAACGCCCCGCTGAAGCGGATATCACAAAGCTATCTCTGAATTTCCCTTCTTCAAGTGATGCTCTGGTTCACAAAGAACGGCCCTATGAAGTGGATATCACAGAGCTTCCTCTTGAGATCCCTTCTTCTTAAGCAACCTCTGCTCCACAAACAGGAAAAACCTTGGATTGCGAGTAACTTGGTCTGCGAGTGTTTTGCAAGACAAGGAATTTTTAAAAATAAATATTAATTTGATAAACGATCGAGGTCCTGCAATACGAGTAGTGTACGTATACGCTTTGTCTGCCGAGCGTCACGTGATCACAACTGATATACGTTGTGCTTTGATATACGAGTGCTTTGGATTACAAACGCGTTTCCGGAACAAATTATGCTCGCAATCCAAGGTTTTACCGTACAGCATACAGCAGCACTGACCCACACAACTTGCCATATTCAAAGATCTGGAATTTTGCAAAAACTCAGCGCAGAACCAAGTTGGATGTGTGTACTGTGCCTTCATAAGTGCGCACTAACAGCACTTGCCCCAACAGTCTGTTAAGGCTACACGGGGGTCTTTGTGATATAGGTGATCCAAAACTACGCAGCGTTTGGAAGTGAGGGTGCGGGGTGGGGCTGCGAAGAGGAGGGGGGGGTGAGTGGTGAGCGTGGGGGGGTGAGTGGTGTGGGCTAGGGTGGTGAGGAGGGCGAGTTCATTGTGAGCAAGAATCAGCCGGTCGTGTCTTAACTTGTGAGCTCACGCCTCAACCGACTCACACACGCAACAAGCACACAAAGGTCCCCCCTGTAGCCCACACAGGCTGATGAGCCAAGTGCTGCAAGAGAGTAGCACCGACGATCTTCGTCGCGGCGCTAATGCATTTTACACACCGCACTAGGTGCTCATTTAACGCTGGGTCGACCTAGAGGAGGGACTCCTGGAACCGATACAGATATCACTCGTCACCGATATTGGCTGCGAGCCCGAATCTAAACTCGGGTTGCCGCCGGGTTCGTAGCGCAG